AAACATGCAAACCATGTCTATTGGTGTATACGCATGAAGAAACTCCATGCAGATGGATCGTTTGGACTCGCTTGATTTTGGATCACTTGAGATATGCAAATTATACCACATGGGCAAGATGACTGAAAGCCTTGTTTTTCAGTAAAATGGAACAAGATAGCAACTTGTTGGAAGCAACACATTTTTATGTGTGCAGTCCAATGAGTGCTGAGGCATGCAGTGAATATCGTTATGTTCTTACTTCACGGATGATTTGAGTAGATACTGAGTATATTTACTTGATAAAACACAAGTCTGAATTATTGAATGGTTCAAGTAATTTCAGAGTGAAGTTGAAGGTCATTGTGACAAGAGGATAAAATGTCTATGATATGATCATAGAGATAAGTATCTGAGTTACGAGCTTTGGCACACAATTAAGACATTGTGGAAATTGTCTCACAATTAATACCGCCTGGAACACCATAGTGTGATGGTGTGTCCGAACATCATAGTTGCACCTTATTAGATATGGTGCGTGTCATGATGTCTCTTATCGAATTACCACTATCGTTCATGGGTTAGGCATTAGAGACAACCGCACTCACTTTAATGGGGTACCACGTAATTCCGTTGAGACGGCACTGTTTGAACTATGGTTTGGAGAAACCTAAGTTGTCGTTTCTTAAAAAGTTTGGGGCTGCGACGCTTATGTGAAAAAGTTTCAGGTTGATAAGCTCGAACCCAAAGCGGATAAAATGCATCTTCATAGGACACCCAAAATAGTTGGGTATACCTCCTAATTCAAATCCGAAAGCAATTATTTCTTGAATCGGGTCCTTTCGCGAGGAAAAGTTTGTCTCGGAAAGTTGAGTGGGAGGATGGTGGAGACTTGATGAGGGTATTGAACCGTCACTTCAACTAGTGTGTAGCAGGGCACAGGAAGTTGTTCCTATGGCACCTACACCAATTGAAGTAGAAGCTTATGATAGTGATCATGAAACTTTGGATCAAGTCACTACCGTACCTCGTAGGGTGACAAGGATGCGTACTACTTCAGAGTGGTACGGTGATCCTGTCTTGAAGGTCATGTTGCTAGACAACAATGAACCTACGAGCTATGGGGAAGCGATGGTGGGACCAAATTCCGACAAATGGTTAAGAAACCATGAAATCCGAGATAGGATCCATGTATCAGAACAAAGCATGGACTTTGGCGGACTTGCCCAATGATCGGCAAGCCATTTGATAAATGGATCTTTTAAGAAGAAGACGGACGTGGATGGTAATGTCACCATCTATGAAGCTCGACTTGTGGCGAAGAGTTTTTCACAAGTTCAAGGAGTTGACTACGATGAGTTTTTCTCATCCGTAGCAATGCTTAAGTCCGTCGGAATCATGTTAGCATAAGCAGCATTTATGAAATCTGGCAGATGGATGTCAAAACGAGTTTCCTTACCAACTTTCGTAAGGAAAGATTGTATGTGATACAATCAGAAAGGTTTTGTCGATCCTAAGGATGCTAAAAGGTATGCTAGCTCCAGCAATCCTTCTAAGGACTGGAGTAAGCATCTCGGAGTTGGAATGTGCGCTTTGATGAAATGATCAAAGATTTTGGGTTTATACAAAGTTCATGAGAAACTTGTATTTCCAAAGAAGTGAGTGGGAGCACTATAGAATTTTTGATGAATATATGTTGTCGACATATCATAGATCAGAGATGACGTAGATTTTCTAGAAAGCATATAGGGTTATTTGAAAGGTGTTTTTCAATAGAAAACCTGGATTAAGCTACTTGAACATTGAGCATCAAGATCTATAAGGATAGATCAAAATGCTTAATAAAACTTTCAAATGAGCACATACCTTGACATGATCTTGAAGGTGTTCAAGATGGATCAGTCAAAGAAGAAGTTCTTGCCTGAGTTGTAAGGTGCGAAGTTAAGACTTAAAGCTCGACCTCGGCAGAAAAGAGAGAAAGGACGAAGGTCATCCCCTATGTTTTAGACGTAGGCTCTACAGTATGCTATGCTGTGTACCGCACCTGAAGTGTGCCTTGCCATGAGTCAGTCAAGGGGTACAAGAGTGATCCAAGAATAGATCACAGTACAGCGGTCAAAGTTATCTTTAGTAACTAGTGGACTAAGGAATTTTCTCGGTTATGGAGGTGATAAAGAGTTCGACGTAAATAGTTACGACGATGCAAGCTTAACACCTATCCGGATAGCTCTGAGTAGAGATACCGGATACGTATAATGGAGAAACAATTTAGAATAGCTCCAAGTAGAACAGTTATTTGGAATAGCTCCAAATAGAGCGTGGTAGCTGCATCTAGGAGATGACATAAAGATTTGTAAAGCACACACGGATCTGAAAGGTTCAGACCCGTTGACTAAAACCTCTCTCACAAGCAACATGATCAAACCCAGAACTCATTGAGTGTTAATCACATAGTGATGTGAACTAGATTATTGACTCTAGTAAACTCTTTGGATGTTGGTTACATGAAGATGTGACCTGTGAGTGTTAATCACATGGCGATGTGAACTAGATTATTGACTCTAGTGCAAGTGGGAGACTGTTGGAAATATGCCCTAGAGGCAATAATAAATTGGTCATTATTATATTTCCTTGTTCATGATAATCGTTTATTGTCCATGCTATAATTGTATTGATAGGAAACTCAGATACATGTGTGGATATATAGACAACACCATGTCCCTAGTAAGCCTCTAGTTGACTAGCTCGTTGATCAATAGATGGTTACGGTTTCCTGACCATGGACATTGGATGTCGTTGATAACGAGATCACGTCATTAGGAGAATGATGTGATGGACAAGACCCAATCCTAAGCCTAGCACAAAGATCGTGTAGTTCGTATGCTAAAGCTTTTCTAATGTCAAGTATCTTTTCCTTAGACCATGAGATTGTGCAACTCCCGGATACCGTAGGAATTCTTTGGGTGTACCAAACGTCACAACGTAACTGGGTGGCTATAAAGGTGCATTACAGGTATCTCCGAAAGTGTCTGCTGGGTTGACGCGAATCGAGACCGGGATTTGTCACTCCGTGTAAACGGAGAGGTATCTCTGGGCCCACTCGGTAGGACATCATCATAATGTGCACAATGTGACCAAGGGGTTGATCACGGGATGATGTGTTACGGAACAAGTAAAGAGACTTGCCGGTAACGAGATTGAACAAGGTATCGGTATACCGACGATCGAATCTCGGGCAAGTACAATATCACTAGACAAAGGGAATTGTATACGGGATTGATTGAGTCCTTGACATCGTGGTTCATCCGATGAGATCATCGTGGAACATGTGGGAGCCAACATGGGTATCCAGATCCCGTTGTTGGTTATTGACCAGAGAACGTCTCGGTCATGTCTGCATGGTTCCCGAACCCGCAGGGTCTACACACTTAAGGTTCGATGACGCTAGGGTTATAAAGGAAGTTTGTATGTGGTTACAGAATGTTGTTCGGAGTCCCGGATGAGATCCCGGACGTCACGAGGAGTTCCGGAATGGTCCGGAGGTAAAGATTTATATATGGGAAGTCCTGTTTTGGTCACCGGAAAAGTTTCGGGTTTTATCGGTAACGTACCGGGACCACCGGGAGGGTCCCGAGGGTCCACCAAGTGGGGCCACCGGCCCCGGAGGCTTGCATGGGCCTAGAGTGGAAAGGGACCAGCCCCAGAGTGGGCTGGTGCGCCTCCCACCCTTGCCCAAGGCGCAACTAGGAGGGGAGAGGGCAAACCCTAGGGCAGATGGGCCCTAAGGCCCACCCCAGGCGCGCCTCCCCTCTCTCCCCCTCTTGGCCGCCCCCCAAGTCCCATCTAGGGCTGGCCGCACCCCTTGGGGTGGGAAACCCTAAAGGGGGCGCAGCCCCCCCTTTCCCCCTATATATAGTTGAGGTTTTGGGCTGTCATACACATGAGAACCTCTCCCTCTTGGTGCAGCCCTACCTCTCTCCCTACTTCTCCTCTCCCACGGTGCTTGGCGAAGCCCTGCAGGATTGCCACGCTCCTCCATCACCACCACGCCGTTGTGCTGCTGCTGGATGGAGTCTTCCTCAACCTCTCCCTCTCTCCTTGCTGGATCAAGGCGTGGGAGACGTCACCGGGCTGTACGTGTGTTGAACGCGGAGGTGCCGTCCGTTCGTCACTAGGATCTCCGGTGATTTGGATCACGACGAGTACGACTCCTTCAACCCGTTCTCTTGAACGCTTCCGCTTAGCGATTTACAAGGGTATGTAGATGCACTCTCCTTCCCCTCGTTGCTGGTTTCTCCATAGATAGATCTTGGTGACACGTAGGAAAATTTTGAATTTCTGCTACATTCCCCTACAATGGCTTGTAAGTGTCATCAGGTCTATGCGTAACACTTTTATTGTAAGTGTCATCAGGTTTTCGCCCCATGGCTGGTGGTCCGTTCCAGGATCATCACGCGGTGGGTTTCCTGGTGATGCGCTAACTTGCTCCCCCCTTTTCAGTCTCATTTCACCTAAGAAGATTTTATCTGTTTTGAGTTGGGTGATGAACTTGGATAAAGACTGATGTATTTCCGTTGATTGCAAAATTAATGGAAAGGGGTTGTGAGCTCGGTTGGAAAAAAAAATAGGACTCTTCTTCTGGAGAAAAAAGCGCAATAGGTTGGGGACGGTGGTAGATCGAACCCTAAGGACCCAGGAGCGAGCCCGCACATCTGGTGCACGACGGCTCCGGCAAGGACCGCGGCGGCTACTGCGGCCGCCAACTCCGATCGCCACCGCCAATCCGGCCGCCAGTGAGTGCCCTCTCGTTTGGATCGTCTAGTAATGTCTAAATCTTTTCTTTCGATCTCCCAGTTCGAGAACTGGTGTACCTAACTGTTTGATATGATCATATACAGTGAGTAAAGAAGAAAGCACAAGAATCGCTGTACCGCCGGCGTCGACGACCACCACTGCGGTGGATTCTGCTTCCGTCCACTTCAAGGTCAACTACGAGCAAGTCAAGCACCTTGCCATCGACGATGTCGTCTCGTCCGAGGTCGTCTCCGTCGGCCAACACCTGTGGAGGATCGACTGTTACCCGCGGGGACCCGTACTCTACTCCCAAGAGCACAAGGGAAACTATGTCTCCATCTTCCTTAAGCGTACGCGCCAGCTTCGTCGCCTTCATAAAGGATAGAGATGACCAGCCATCAGAAACACGAGTCAGGACTTACCTTCACGAGTTCACAATCATGGACGACTGGGGGTGGCATCGGTTTGTGGAAAGAACGGTCCTCGAGGAAGACTATGTTATTCAAGGGCACGTCACGTTCGTATGCACCATCATGGTCATGCGTGATGCTACGCCTGTCACCGTGCCTCCATCCGACATCAGGAACCATCTCGGCTGCTTACTGGATCAGGCATATGGGACGGACGTGTCGTTTACCGTCGACGGCGAGACATTCCCCGTGAACCGAGCTATTCTTGCAGCCCGCTCACCCGTCTTCAAGGCAGAGCTCTTTGGGTCCATGGCCGAAGCTACAATGGCATCCATCACACTGCTCGATATCACACCTTCAACATTCAAATATTTGCTTCTGTTCATATACACAGATGAGTTTCCTATTACTACAGAGGATAACCCCTCCAATTCCAATGAGGTATTGTTTGACTTACTTGCCGCTGCCGATCGGTACGCACTTGACCGGCTAAAGCTTATGTGTGCTCAAAAGTTATGGGATAATGTGTCAATGGATACAGTTAAAGATATTCAGGCTTGCGCTGACATGTACAATTGCCTCCAGTTGAAGAACAAGTGCGTTGACTTCATTGCAAAAGAGAAAAAAGCGAAGAAGTCTCTTGTTTCAAAAACGATTCGAAGAAGCCCAAGACTTCATCAGGCTAAGGCACAGATTTGATAGATTATTGTTGGTGAGTTCAGACTTTAATTAGGACAGTAGTGCTCGAACATAATATACTGGACTATTTCACATTTGTGTTTTCTTTTGTCTTTTACATTGGTGCATTGGCACCCGGGATTCTATTTGCGGTTTGACGAGAACGACTATGGTTTTCTTGCATTTGACAAGTATTTTACGTACTACAAGAATCATTGTTTTCCTTTGAAAAGGTGTCTCGAGGTGGATTAATTTATAGTTCTTTTGTGGTTGCTAAATTCCTATATTGGATATGATTTCTAGTTTGTTAGAGGATTTTTCTCACTAAGTAAGACGTAGTTGCATTTTGAAGAAAAAATTTGCTACTAATAAATAGTTATCCTCATAGATGAAAATGTATAATATATTTTGTAAATAATCGCTTATGCCATCAATGTATTAAGTGTTTTTCTCCAAAGTTCACGGAATTGCATATCAATTTGTATTAAGAAAACAAAGTCTACTCATAGATGGAAAATACAAAGCTATTTAAAGCAATTTGTGACTAATTGTTCTTCCAAGACTTTTTACCGCAACTTCTTGATATGTACTGCTCCAACGAAAATAATATCCTTTCATCTCCAAAGAAACTGGAACATCCTCATGCCCCAATGTCTCTCGCGCAGGGTATGCATGCATCCAAACAGAAGCACTTGAAATTTTTGTATCTCTTCCTAGAATCTTATCTAGGAACCGAACAAAACAAGCCTTCACAATCACAGGAGTCTTACTCCGTGTGACATCGCCTCTTCTCCTGCCATTTGCATGTAGCCCATGCACTGCTATTCGCATGTAGTCAATGCATTATGGTTTCTGTCATACATACAAAACTCCGAAAGTGATGTGCAGAGTATACACGCCATGCACAAAAAAAAGCCTTTTCATTCTGGCATGTTGCTTTCTTCGATGCACCTCTGCCTTCAGATATTGTAAACACATTTCCAGCAGATCCCATATCATATAATCCTATAATGAAAAAGCATATGCATTATGCTAAAAATTTAATTTATTTAAGGGATTAAACTTTTCTTCATCTAGCAAATCCGGTAAATTTAATCCGTCAAACCAACTAGGCTAAAAAACTTCTATGGTATGTGCCTGAGATGCTACAAGCTCCCAATTTTTCTCCGCAAGTGCCTCCTAACACTGACATGTCAAGCAAAGAGGGGATTTCTCTTCATCTTGTTGCCAAATAGGCAACATGAAAAGGCTTTTTCATGCGGATCAGATCGAATCGATATCAGAACCCCCAACTCCATTGCATTGTCGGGATACTTGCCCCATATTTGAAGCGGGTTGACCTCCATGTTTCTCCCATATTGTAATCCCCTCCTAAAATCTGGAAAGATTGACTTTATTGTAGTGAGTGCGAACTGTTTTTCTAGGAACCAGAGATTCCCTAAGGCTAGTCATGGTGGGAGTAACTTAGCTAGTAACATAGCGCACTTCAAGAAATTTTTGCTTATGTGACAAGTATTTAATGTGAGGTGGTAACATAATATGTTACTGTAACATAACGCTTCCCAAGACAAGATGAGTCTACAAGCTAATAAATAAAGCCATCTATGACACTACTATCATTGTTACTTTGCATTATGAAGGTAGTAACTTAGACTAGTGTCATGCATATGACACTAGTCTAAGTTACTCCCCATTATGACCAGCCTAAGAATACTTACCGGGAAACACTGTCATAATGGGGAGTAACTTAGAGTAGTAACATGCATACGTTACTACTCTATGTTACTACCCTTATAGTGGGAAGTGTCATCTGTGTAGTAACATACACGTGTTTATTTATTGTCTTGTAGACTCATTTTGAATTGGAAAGCGCTATGTGATGGTAACATATTAGGTTACTCTATTTGCCTCTCTTCTCATTAACTACTTGTCATATCAACATTTTTGCTTATGTGGCATCTATGTTACTTTCACTATGACCAGCCTTATATTCAGTAGTATGATAGAAAACTTCTATCAGACGGGTCATTTGCCGTTGATACTTTCCTAATCCCATGGCTGATATACTTCTAAGCAAAGCCCAATTTAATCCGAGAAAATCTTGCATGCCCCGTTCCAACCACCTCACGTAGTTACATGCGAGTAAATCTCGCATCCCCGGGGCGAGCGCAGCCCCGAGCTCGCCGATCTCCGTCGCTGCGTCGGCTACCTCCGCCACCACCGCGCTCCGCCCAAAACTCCGGGACGTCTACAACTGCTGCTGGTAGCCGGCTGCAGCGATCCTCCCCTGTCCTCTCCGCCGAGCCCTGCTCTCACCGTCCACGGTGTCGCCCCCAACGCCGGCCCAGTTCCCCACCAGACCCCGCCCCGTCACCATTCATCCCACTGCGCTGGTGTGTCGTTCGGCTCAGGAAAGAAGCTGCACGCATATCCCAGCCATTGCCCCCCTGGTATATACTCACCCGAACTAGGGTTTGATTCACTTTTCACACTTGATTTAATTTCTGTTACTCTGGATGCAATGCATGGTTTGATGAATTTTGTTGAGCGTAATTATGTTATATCCGATGTGTAATGAATCACTATTTCATCTAGGAATTTTTTTAATTTCTTATGCAGATCAACATGTTTCCTAATCTTGACTGTAATACTTGTTTTCGACTTGATTTCAAATTTCCATGCTTCCACCCAAGTTTAGATATGTTCCTAAATACAATATCCATGCTTCCTAGTTCCATAGCATCTAAATTGCTATACAGATGCTTCTGGGCTCTTTATATTTTGCTTCCAAATTCCAAAAAGGAAATCAATCAATATGTTGGTGAGTCAAAACATCCGGTTGCCAAACATTTATAGGTCTGCTTCAACATTTATTTCATTTTCACTACTTTTCCATCTCTTTTTATTTCATTTTTGTTCTTCAGAATTTCTAATTCTTCTCTAAAATTCGAAAAATGTTTAGAAGTTCAAAAAATGCTCTTTTTATTAATTTTTGTTTACAAATTCAAAAAATGTTCTTCATTAACGAAAAAATGTTCACATATTATAAATAATGTTCACTTTAAAAAAACGCAAGTTCAAATAGTGTTTGTGAGTTTCGAATAATCTTCCCGTTTTCAAAAATTGTTCGCCAATTTGAAAAATGTTCATGTTTTCAAAATTTGTTGAGAGTTTCAAAAAATGTTTCCATTTAAAGAATTGTTCATAAATCCAAAATAAATCTTGTTTCAATTTTTTGTTGGGGAGTTTCAAAAATATACGCAAGTTTAAAAGCGTTTCATGTTTTCAAGTTATGTTTAGGAGTTTCAAAATATGTTCCCATTTTTCAAAAATGTTCACGTATCCAAAAATTCTTTTCGTATTTGAAAAATATGTTCTAGTTTTGTAAAAAAAAATCATCTTTATATTTTTGGGGGATTTAAAAAAATGTTCCCTCTCCAAGAATTGTTTGCATTTTATGAAATGTTTGAGTTTTTCCAGGGCGAGGGGCAGGGGTCCCCTTCGGAATTGAAGGAGGAGGGTTTGATCATGGTGGTCTCCTTTTGGAGTAGACGAGGGCATGTTCATCTTCGCTGGTCGCGATTCACTCTTGAAGCTCGCTTGCTGTCATGCTTTGGTGCTTCATTCGCGTCGAAGGGCTCCATCCACATTTAGCTAGTCCTCGTGTAGATCTCTTGTGCTATCTGTTGTGGTGCCTGTAAGCTGTCTTTGGTAGCACCTTGTATCTGCTGTTTTTAGTTTCTTTGTTGCTCTTGTCCGTTGTATGGGGCCGATGTAATTCCTGGCCGATTAATGGCTTCGTTAATTCAAAGCCGGGCTCTTCTTGAGCCTTCGTTTAAAAAAAAAAACAGTGACCAATTAGCATGAAAATTTCGTACGGCAGCAAATTCCAAACATCAAGGATGACAGATCAAATCGGGATAAAACTGATTTCTTATCAGTATTTCACTGCAACGAACTATGTTTTTCACCATCAATCTCAAATTCTCAATCGCCATGATAAGAATGCCTAAGCGTCCGAGCAGGATCAAATCAATTCGGATTACAATTTTTCTGGTGGCAAATCACGATCAGAGTATTATTATTCACAGATAAAAGCTCAACGATCAGGAGGAGGAGGAGGAGGAGGAGGAGGAGCTAGTAGTAGTACGCGCCGGCTCCATGGTAGTGGTAGGCCATGGGCATCGGCACGGAGGTGTTGGACGCGAACGCGCTTCCGCCGCCGCCGACGGCGAGCCCGTTGAGGCCGGCCTGCCCCTGCATCCCGCCCTGCCGGTACTGCGCCCACATCCTCTGCTCCTGCGCCAGCAGCTCCTGCTTCCGCTCCATCTCGGCCATCTGCACGTACGACGGCGGCGGCACGGCCAGCGACGCCGCGAACGGGTCGCCGCCGACCGCGCCGTCGGGCCCCGGGAGCGCCAGGATGTTGTGTGCGGCGGGCGCGCCCGGGAGCGCCACGCTGCTCGCGCTCCCGGACGCGGCCTGCGCGCGCGCGTGCTGCCGCACGGCGCCCTGGTCGTACATCCCGTGCAGGAGGAGCGGGTCCATGCCGCCGCCCAGCGCCGCGGTCTGGCGCGACAGGTTGCTCGCCGTCTCCACCAGGGCCAGCTCCCAGTCGGCCTTCCCCGGCTCGGCCGCCGGCGTCTGCCACGCGGAGGTCGTCGTCGCCTTGGGGTTGGGGGCGCCGTCGTCGGACGGGAACGCGACCCAGCTGCCGTTCGCGGACTGTGGCTGCTCCGAGAAGAGCGCGAGCGCCAGCTTGTTCCCCTGCTCGTCGGCTGCTGCCGCGGACTCCCTCAGGTCCACCAGGTCGTTAGTCTGATCAGCTGCCCTGGCCACCGGCGCGACGCTAGCTTTCGCCGGCTCTGGTCGCGGAACCGTCGCAGCGTTGATCTGCTCTAGGGCCGGGAGCGCCTTGATGCCGTTCATGTCGTACTCTGCCTGGTGGTGTTCGTCGTGGACAGCGTGCTGCGCCTGTCGCGGCGGCGGCGAGTTCTGGCCTGCCCTGCCGCGCTCCCGCA